CACAGGCTGCATCGTAAAATGTCTTTTTGTACATGACACCTAAGTCCAATCCTCCTACTCTACTATTCATGCGTTTTCGCCATGCAAAACTAGAGCGCTACAGCTGGCAGCAAAAACGCATATTGCGACGACCCTATGTACGTGTGTGTGTGTGTTCGTCTGTCCGGGTATTTCTACTCGTCAGCCACGCAAGCTTAGACGCTGAAATTTTGTCGATGCGCCCTCTGGCCAAGTGCGGTCTCAGGAACATAATACTAACTTTAACGCACGTCTACTTCTTACGTACGGACACGTGAAAGCTTTGGTGAGAAAATTGTTAACTCGGGAACGAGGGAAGTTAGAGAACTGAAACCTTACAGCAATGTTCAATCCATGTTCAATAACCATGTATGACCAAAAAATTTCAAACTCAGCTGTTTAGAACCCCCCGAGACTCACGTACAGGCACGTGAAAATTTTGGCGGGAAAGTTGTTAACTTGAAAACGAGAAAAGCTGGAACACTGGAATTCTGAGGGAATATTCCCTACTCATGGGCGTCTAAAAAATTTCAGATTCAACTCTTCTAGCGGGGTCTTTCTCTCGCACCAGGGACTTTCCATCTGTCGGGTTATTGAAACCGACATCTACAGCTGACATGCCACATAGCTGCACAATTAACTCTCTGAACTTCGAGGGCTAATACATCTCAGATTCTAGCTACTGTGATTCTTTGCGGTATTGCTACAGCACGAAATAGTCACACCAGCTCGCCTGGTGCGTTCCAGTCTGGATCATTCTTCTGTGCCGCAATTGTGAGTTCGTATAGCAGCAATGTTTTCTGTTTTTTAGGACCCGCTTCTTTCAAGTCGTCCCTGCCTTCTACGCACGATTGAAGTTCTCAATAACTTTTTCCAGTCCCCGTCCAATGGGCATGTGGAAAATAAGTTACTTTTTTAAATGTTATTTCTTTCATTTTCTTTTCTCTAACAGCATTTTTCTAGCCCCGAAAATCCTCAAATCAAATCATCGAGGTCTATCGACTCATTTTACGCACTCAAGAAGCGTATCAGCGAAACATTTGTAGTCCTGTTCAATACTCGCCGTCCTACCGACATTCCTTACCTGTTTTCAATCGTCTCTACATTGATTTCCCAATACAGTGATCTTTCCACATTCCTCCGGAATCAGTTATTACCAAAAAACGGTTTGTCAGTATTCGTCACTGTAGATAACTTTCAGTTATTTTATTCATCTTGAAAGCCGCGTTTACCAATGCACTTCTCCCCATTCTTACCTTCTTACCTAAGCTTTAGCTTTTATATACTCAAAATGCAGTTGTTTTGCGAAAAAGCTGCGTTTATAACAAAGCAGATAGTACATTATACAAATTATATCTTTTCCCCAAGTCTTTCTTCTACTTTCAGCTTCTCATTATTTCCTAATCCCTTGTTTGACATACCGTAATTCTTTGTTTCGGGGAGAAAAACACTTCCGTGGACTGGGAATACATCTGCTCTTCCACTGATAAACTCGAGGGGGCAATTTGTCCTGCGTTTCCTATCCTAATTATATAAATGCCCTCTTCCACCATTTGGGACCGGTATCACCGCTCTTCATCATCGTTCTTCGTAGACTTCGACTCTCCACACACGCATCTCTACTCAGTATTCACCAACCAACACGACATTTACACTGTACACACACTTTGACACAACATCAATTCTTCACATACACACCAACTTGATTCTCCTGCTACGGAACCAAATATTTCACTTAATATTTGATGGTGTGCACGGCATGCTAATTGCTAATACGGTGTAATGCCCCACTTTCCTCTTTTCATCTCGTAATTAGTATTTCACTTCTAATCACATAAAGAACTACCTACAACACTTTGTCTCGCAAGCCCTACTAGAACACAAGACAGCAGGTCTTACTAGACGTGTCATACATTTACTATACCAAGAATATCAAGTCTACTAACACAGTCAATAATAGGCACCCCTACTACTGTTGTTGCTAGGATGCCTCCATATGCCGGAAACAGCCATACCAAAGCTGTTTGACGCACGCAAACTCTTTAAGAACTACCCGAGTGATAGTTTACTTCCTTGTGGGACCATCCTACTCGCCATACAACGCCCACCGGCTACCGGCAGGATGAGCAACGTTCCCTATCCATTGAATTTCACTTTCTCGCAACGTCACTATGAAAATCAGTATGCCGTTCATTTGATGGAAACGTGATCAATGTGGTCACGAAGAATCCTTTATTCCATCCCGCTCTCCGTCGCTGTCGAGAACAGAGCTCAGGAACATCCCAGAAGGACCCAGAACGTGTTGGCTTCTCACCGCCAAAGTTGTTTTCCATTGTAGCATATATTGGGAGGCGCTCAGATAAAAAAGTGTGGGAGGAGGCAAGGCGTGACATGGGTAAAGGGAGTCAAGATGGAACATGTGTGCGAGGAGCCTTCCCCGACTTCTTTTGTCGATGGTTTTGTAATGTTTCATATTTTCTTTTTGTTAAAGGAGAAATGGTGCGGAAGACCACATGAACATACGATTTCCGTTTTCACACTCAACTTTTTATGCCGTTTCCGCTGTGCGGTGGCGGAGAGTTGCAACAATCAGCAAAAACGCGCATGGTGCGTGTTTGTATGCGCATGTTGCATTCGTCCGGGTGTTTCAACTGAGCAAACAAAGAAGCTTAGGTGCTGAAATTTTGCCAATGCATTCCTTCGCCGATTGTAATCCTAGAAATGTGATGTCATTTCTCAGGCACTTCTGCGTCTCACATATAGATGCGTGAAAGTTCTGGCAGGAAAATCGCTAACTCGGAAAACAACAAAGCTAGGAAGATGAAATTTATATATGAACAAAGATTTCAAATTCATTTCCATGTAATTCTAAGTCTTACGTACGGACAAATGAAATTTTTGAAATGAACTAGGGAACCAGAGAAGTTAGAAAGCTGAAATTCTAAGGAAATATTCAATGCCCAAGTATGAGTAACAGATTTCGAATCCAGCTCCTTACTGTAACTGGATTCCGTAAAATTTTTGGATGGAAAATTGCTGCGTAAAGTTTTTGATAGAAAGTTGCTTGTTCAAGAACCAGGAAACCTAGAAAGCTGAAATTTTAAGGACGCTTCTTGTCTAAGCGCAACTTGAAAATTTCACATTCAGCTCCCACGCGCGCTTGACTCTCATGTAGGAGCACGTGAGAGTTTTGGTGGGAAAATAATTAAAGTAATTAGGAACCAGAACATCTGAACCTTTTCTAAAAACGCAGACACCAGAAATTGTTCATTTTGCTTTATGCAAAATTTATGGTGAATTACGGCAATGAGTGCGCATGTTAAATATAGAGCAACAACAATTCATGCAGTTAACGGCCTGATTGCTTTAAGTTTAGTGCAAAAACGCACGCTGGCAAGCTTGGCGCGTTGCTACCTGATTCATCAATTTTGGTGAAAAACTGTCAAAAATTTTCGTCTTCATGGAATTTTTCATCAGAGAAAAGTTTAATTGGTCAACGAAAGAAGCGGGTTTTTGTTCATCCATCTTCCCACACAAGATCCATTGCAGTCACGGTCAGTACTCACTCTCCAAATTTAGTCCGTGACCAACTTTTGCATCCATACGTAATTACCTTCCGCACAAAAAATACGTCATTACCTTCAGCACAATGGTAAAATCTGGCACTGTCTTTCCAGCCCGACAATTTCAGAGTGTCGGCGATGATGGGAACTTGCGCTAATCTGCGACTCTCCTACTTGGTATTATGGTGCATAATTAATTACTGATCTAGACAGACCATGTGGAAAGCCGGCAGCTCTACCTCAACAGCAGCAAGCCGCACATCGCTGTGGTTAAAACAGGAGCTAAAGCCCACTCGAACAAATACTTTATTTGTTTTTCAAGCAATCAAATTTCTTCCTCTACGAAAGGTACTTGATAAGTAAACTACTGAATGGTTGATAAGGTGATGAGTACACATAGCAAAAATGGAAAATACCAACTGTAAATGAGCATCACGGATATCAAGAACATCACGGAAAAAACGCGCTTTAATTATACAGCTGCGTTGATCCTACCTGCTACTACAGCATAGACTATATTCGTTTATGACTTATGATTTTAGGTGCTAAGATCAAATAGAAAATACTAACTGACTGAAAGCCATTTGCACGTAGTCGGTTGCAGAATGATTCATTTTTCTAATGGTTTCTACTTCAGAACTGTCGTTAACTCCAAGGCCGCCACCAGATGAATCAGGCAACAACAGTTCCATCTTATCTGTAGTGATCGCAGCACTACCATCTGAACTTTCTGAACTTCGGAAATTGGTCTTTGCGTGCATGTCAATTGTTGTAGCATAAATTATTCCGTTTTTTTCATCAACCACTCGAATGACATACTCCTCCTCTGCCATTAGCTAAAATTGCAGTCTTCAGATTTTGCCCAAAGTGAAGCCAGAAATATTGCTCATCATTTTTTGAACTCTCCTTTGGACATCTGCAAAGATGTGCTTTTATCTTTCCCGGATTCGTCCTTAACTGAATTGGAACAAAGTGGTTAAGAGCACATCAAGGCCTTTTTTGCGCTTAGCAGTTGCTATAACTCGGCTCTGTTCAGCTTGGCTCGGTTGCACAAAATATGCTAGTTTCGGTTTTGGTGCGAGAGTTGCGAAAATCATAAACGCACGCAAACACGCCAACGTTTCAGTTTTCTTTTTTTTTTTTGTTCAGTAAGATTTTGGATTCGCGGTCGAAAATTTCATTGAACAGAAACATCCGTACTTGCTTACCTAAGAATATTTCAGTGTTCAACGATATCAAAAACAGAAGTAGAGCTTGTGTACCCCCTTTCGTTTATTCCAAAATTATTTCAAGGATTCAAAAATTCTGCTATTACATAAACACTGTTCGGTGATTCAGTCATTGTGGCTTGGCTTTACTACCAGTAACAACGTTGTTTTTCATCAATTACGTGAATCTCAGTTCCTTCGATTATGGGTTTACGATGCAAGAAATAAGATGTCGAACGAGTGCTTTTAAGCACAAGCTCCCTCCAGCTTTTCTCCTTCCCTTTCCTCTCCCGCCCACCTCCCCCTCCTCGACCACTTTCACCCACCTCTATTTCTGCCTCAAGCAACATTTCAGCTCCTTTCTAATCAACATTTTAGTTCACTTTTCCCTGTACTGATCCTGTTTGACCGGAATCAGTAACCTCGGTCCTTCCTGCCCACTACCCAGCTCTACTCTTCTACTCCTGCCCCATTCAAAGTAAAAGTTAAACTGTAATTCTCCCGAAAAGCAAGGGTGCATACCACGATTTTCTCAACTCCCCCAGCAGACCTAAAAATGAATCTTTGCGCGTCAAAGCTAAACCAAGCTGTGTTTTAGTAATCGCCGAGTTCGCCCATTCCTCGGAGTTTTTATATAATTGATGACGCTTTTACAAGTTCTTCGATGCTGCGCATGTTTAAATGTCTCTGTATGACGAACTCATCATAATTACCGTATATTACCATAATTACCGTATATATATAAAATTACCATAATTACCGTATATATATAAAATTTAGATATCAAACTTCGCAAAATTGTATGCTGCCGGACACTTTCTAAGAAATGATCACCAAAAAAGCAAATATGCCTAGTAGTTTACACACTCTACTTTGAACAGTTACAGTTTCATCGTCGGGCCATTCATAAAGAAAGCAGATTCTCGAATTCATCATATTTTGTGTCTCTTTTATTCACACCTCCCACTGCACCGCCAGTCCTAACAGCATTCTTTTATCAGTTTATAATATTACTCACTAATCCATCTTATCTATCTATTGTCTTCTGCTCTTGCGACATGACCAGTCTAGCCTCTCTTCTTAGCGATAAACCGCTTCCTCCAGTTCACTAACACCAAACCAAAATAGCAGAAAATGGGCTGCAACTTGCTAATAACCTACATAAGTTGTTCCATGGTTCTTGAACCGCTACATTATTTTTCTTCTCAGCAATCATTGCATCCCATGATTCATCTTCATAGCAAAACTGACAGCGCGATAGAGTTAAAAAATGTCGCGTTCACAATCGACGGTACTTTGCCTTGAGAAGCACGCCCCGAAACTTGGCGAAAGCTATCCATCTTTCTCTTTTTCTTCTACTCAGCTGGCTACCCAATCCAAAATATATGTGAGTTGTATACCTCAACTAGGTATAACTGTCTCTGAACTCAGCCAGCTAATTCTCCTTTCTCGTGTTGAATAGGAGGGAATAAAATTTCTCGGTTATTTATTTCTTTAAGGACCAGAAGTGGAATGCCCCATGCACTGGTAAAAAATTCATTTGGTAAGTTAACTTAACTAAAAGTTCATTTAACACAAAATCCTTTGCAAAAAACTCATTTGGATTATCTTAACATCGTTTTAAAATTGTCCTTTTTTTTTCAGTTTTTCAGCAAGACGTTTTCAAATGTGCTTTGGAAAATAACTGTCGCTTTGTTCACGACTCTTTCATTCCATATTTTCACAGACTTATCGGAAAGGGTGATTTCGCGCGCGTAATGCGGACAAATTGTCTCCTATAGTTCAGTGCACAACGGAACTATCCCTTGATCGTAGAAACCTTGTCAGGCAAAACTGCGTCTCAACAAATCGAAATTCTTACTAAAAAGAACAAATAATTTTGTATTCTTGAAATCGTTCTGCCAAATACTGTAAAAATTTAAGCGACTGTAAATTTTGTGCATTTTACTGCAAAAAACATTACTGTAAACAGTGCAAGCACAGTTGGACGATATCTTCAGGATCCATTCCATTTTGTCAGTTTCATCACTAATTCAAGGTACCAGACAAAACAAATGCCTGGTGTTTTTGCGACCTACCCAGCGCGAATTTCATCAACTCTTGTTGTTTTCCCGAGACTTATCGTAAGTGCTTCAGTTACTACCTCACTGGGAGTGTTACTGGTAACATAGACAAATAGGAGGTGAACGGCGAACTTGTCAATAACAGTCACCTGCCGCTGATAACTTCGTGAATGTTGCTTTGCGTGTTACTTTGGAAATAAGGTCAAGGCAGTTCCGACTCTTTCGTATACACCAACTAACTAAGGCGAAACTACTAGTATTATACACACTTCCTCAAAAAATGTGTATAAAAACAGGCCTCTGCAAGTCGACCATTTCCAGAAGTATCTGAGCTGCTTACGGCACATTCGAATGCTGCTGCACATGTGTAGAGCACATCTGGTTGCTAAAATAACATTTTTCACAGTTTCAAATTTTCTTCATTTTCCCAGAACTGAAACGATTTGTAGGGAACATAACTACACTGATTAAGGGCGCTAAGATTTTACACTTGCTTTTGTTTCTTCAATTTCTTTTAAAAAATTTGGTTAATCAGTTGCACAACATACTTGATCAGAGAGGTCAAATAGGTCGTGTATATAGCAGTCCACCGTATTTCCATAATCAATTAGTAGTACGGTACAGCGATTGTCCACCATATTAAATGCTCTGGCAATGGCCCTGCAAAAATACATCACTTCCTTAAATTTACTATAGAAACAGTCTTTCACGGTTAGCTACAGATGCACGTTTTCGTCAGAGAAATAAGCTTTCGAATATCGTATCACTTTTTTCCGAAAGTGAATGCTAACCTACGAAAACTAAATTTCAGTGAAGCAACACCATTAACACGCAGGTCTAATTCTTGCTACAGACACACACTCTTAGGTTAGGTCAGCGTATTTTCTTTAATGCAGTTGCCCCAAATCGGAGACACACGGAGGAGAGCGGACGAGTCAAGGGAGAGCGGGAGAGGGAGGGGCTCCAGGAGAGGAGGGGGAAAAAGGAAGCCAGGCAGAGCGAGAAGCCTTTTTTTTATAATCTAGGCCGAGAAAGCATAAGCTTTATGATTTAAAAAAAAAAAAATCTGCTGAATTCCAAATCGTTTTCACAGAAACTACTAAGCACTGGTTGTGCTAAATTTATTAATGCCAGACTGTTGCTATTCTTCTGGCCACATATCTCATTTCTGGAATTAGGAAAGAACCTGAAATTTATGAACAAACTCCCTGACGGCGCACCAGATCTCGGAAGTGAAAACACCTTTTACTTTAGTCTTTTCTTATTTGTAACCCCAATCCGAACAGGCTTTATAATTTAAGAGCTAAAACAAATGCAAGCTCGGAATTTTTGAATGCAAATCGAATACAAATTTGAATACAAATTTCAAAATTTCGCGGAGAAGCTTCAGAGCTCAAAAATTTAAAATCAACTTTCAGGTCATCCTGTGCTTCGATTTTTTACTTTGGGGCCCATATTCAACCAAATAAGACCATGCATCTGCGTGTGTTTATTTGTTTACACCAAACCAAAACTCTTTCAACGACTCGGCTTCAGAAATACGAAATCTAGCACGGTAAAGTTTACGACATTGTCATTTCCCATATTCTGAGGCAAAAAAGTCAAAAAGCCGGCTTCCTGATTTAGCATTATATTAAAACAGTAACCGCATACAAAACGATAGCTCAGTTTTCACTTAGAAATAGCTACATTCTGCTGACCGATGAAAGAACCATCGTTACTCTTGTATGTTTTGTTGCATTTACCGACCGTGATCACGCAACTGCTGGTCTCACTTGACGCTAATCATCTTTAATAGTACTGTCTAATGCTGACTTGTCACTTGGGCTGTCAAAACGCCCTTTACTCTCTTTTTTCTAGACGACGCTTGAGAGCGTAATCTATCCATATGATAATGATTTCGTTGGTTTTTACCAAAGGTTGCTGAAACATCGTCGCATTGGTGTAATGTCGCGAAATTTTCACATAGCTGATCACATTGGGACCCAAGCCTTTTGCAAAGTGGATGAGCCAGGAAGAGATCCACTTTTTAGCTTAACTGCCTCTGGGCTTTTCTTGTCGTGACGTGTTACCCACCACACCGGCCATTACGCTCAACATTTCATTTGGAGCTTGTTTTTCTGTATTTACATCTGCAAAAACTGCTGCTTGTGGTAGCAGCTCCGGATTCTAAAATATGCTTGCTTGTGAATGCTGCTGTTACCACAATCTTTGGGGCAGCAAATACAAGGATTATATCAGTTTTTGTCGACACTGCGAGTGCTAATGATAGATGTATTCTTTTCTTGTATTCGCTAATGAATGGGTTACAAAACGTCTTTTCTCCATAACGCTCAATGATACTGTTATTTATCTTATCATTTCTTCACAGTCTTCAGTAACAACCCAATTGTTTATCCTGTGCTTAGGGCAAATTATGACACGCGTTAAAAAATCTTGCCACTCAAAGCAGATTGAATTAGAAAAGCAATGGCTAGTTTAAGAAAGCAGTTGACATATTAACCAACCGGTAATAACAGGCTTGAGTCTGCTCCGGACGACAAACGGATGCAATACATGCAA